AATAAAATTGACAGTCGAGGGCCTCTTGCAAAAAGCCAGGCCCTCCTTCACTTAGGGCGGGCACCTCCGCCTTCACGTAGGGCGGGTAAGACTGCAAACAGGGCCCCATAGGCCTACCGAGGACCCTGATCCTCACATTCCCTCCTCCTTAACTTCTTGAGTCCTCTGAGAAGTCTCTTATTCTGCAGGCATCTTCCCTTGAGTGCTCTTTCATAGCCTGCGATTACTTGAGGTGCTGTTCTCATGAGTTCTTCTCGTGTGAACCACCGATCTTCTTTCGGATCCAGATGATGTCTGAAGCTCACACGATACTGCATTCTTGGTTTAGGAAGTCGCCCTCTGCCTGATGGTCGAGGTACAGGCATCACTCGATGCTCGACGATCTGGTCAATGTCCACTTCGCCATCCATGGGTGGGGGCAGCATTGATCTTCTGGAAGGGAACTGCTCAATAGCAGCATAGGGTGCTAACTTTGAGGCATGGAACACAGGGTAGGTACGCAAGTGAGGTGGGATGCGGATTATATATGAAGGACCGTCTGGTTGATCTCCTACAATCTCTAAGATCTCCCAGGGCCCAAAGAACTATGGCATTAACTTGCGGGATATGCCCAACTCATGACCAAGCTCAGCAGCCTTAATCCAGACTCTCTCACCTACCTGAAAGTTAGAGGGCCGTCTATGTTTATTCTTAGATGCAATCATTGCCTCTTGAGACTTCCTAATGTGTTCAACGGTCTGCTGCAGCATCTGTTCGTACTTGACAGCAAACTCTGCGCTGCCGGGTGCTGCAGTGGGTTCTCTTTCTGGTAACAGAAAGTCTAAGGCGGTTCGGGGCTTCCAACCAAGATGCAGTTGGTTGGGAGTCATGCTGGTAGTACTATGCACAGCATTGTTGTACAGGCTGGCAACGAGAGGTAGTTTCTCGTCCCAGTCGTCCTGACTTGGCTCGATATAGTGCCTAAGCAACTGCTATACTACTCGGTTCATTTGTTCCGCTTGCCCATTTGACTCAAGTTGATTTCCTGAAGTCATTTGGAATTTTGTGCCCATTTGTTCAACAGTAGACAACCATAGTTCACTTGTGAATCTGACATCCCTATCACTAACAATAGACGTAGGTAGACCGAAGTCTCTTACCCAGTTATCCATGAAAAGTTTGATGACAAAGTCAGTTTTAGCAGTTCCAGGCATAGCGATCAATCTGGCGTACTTGGTGAAACGGTCCACTATGACAAAGATGTGTTTCTTTCCTGTCCTGCTGGTCACAAGGGTATCCATGAAATCCATGGACACACTCTGGCCTGGTCCTTCAGGGATTGGCAAGGGTTTGATTAACCCAAGCGGAGCCTGAGTCCTTGGTTCGTCCCTTTGACAAACCTGGCAGGTTTCAACATAACGTTTTGCATCTTCTAACATAGAAGACCACCAAAATCTTTGCACTAAGTTCGCTGATGTCTTTCTATAGCCAAAATGACCAGTTGCATCATGACATTCGTCTAAAAATAAACTACGCAGAGACTCACTATTAGCAACACATAGTCTTTTATTCCCTGCCTTCTCAAGGAACAGCAAGCCATCTACCATCGTAAATTCATCCAAAGTTTTCTTGTCCTTTGCTTGGAATCTACGAATGATTTCTGACATGACTGGGTCTCCCTGATAGGCTTCCACCATCGATCGAGTGAGTTCGTCAGATATGCCAAACTCGGTAACTAGCGTGCCCAAATAATCTGCCCTTCTTGATAGTGCATCAGCCACCTTGATAGGATCAAGTTGATAGTCAGACATGTCTATCACTTGAATCCATCTCTTGAGTGCGTCTGACAACACGGGTTGTGTCTTAATCCAGCGCAAAGTCTCATGGTCAGACCTCACATAGAAGAATCTTCCTATAAGGTAGTGTCTCCAATGGACTAGCGCCCTATATAGGGCGTAGAGCTCTCTCTCATACGTGGACTTAGCTAACTTTTGAGATGACATCTTCTTGCTCATATACTCGATCGGTCTCAACTTGGGCCCTTCCTGTTGCGCAAGGACCGCGCCTATGCCATATTGGCTAGCGTCTGTGGTCACAACAAATGGCTTGTCAGGATCAGGAAGTTTGAGAACTTCATAGTGTGTTAGAGCATACTTCAATTTCTTGAAGCTTGCCTCACACTCTTCAGTCCACTCCCAATGGGTGTCAAGTCGAGTTAGATCTGTTAATGGGGAAGCTATAGTACTATAGTTCTTCACAAACGGACGATAATAGCCCGTCATCCCCAAAAACGATCTGACCTCAGTAACAGTTTGAGGTCTAGGCCAGTCACGTATGCTGGCCACTTTTGCATCTTCCGGCCTCAATCCATCTGCTGAAATTTCATGACCCAAGTATCTTGGTGCGACCAAACTCGCATTTATCCAAGTTCACCTTGTACTGGTGCTGTCTTCACAAGAGGTTAACGGGGCATCTGGTTTTCAGGCCTGAAATTTCTAAAATTAGGGTTTTGGGCTCAAATTTCATGTTTTTTTGGAATTTCAAGTTTTTGCTATATATGCATTTTGATAGGGTTGCGGTATATGAAATTTGGGGTTATTTGGAGTTTTAGAATTTGCGGTGTTAAGATTTCTGAAATTTCTGAAATTGGTCGAGTTTTTTTTGGGCCAAATTTCATGGAAATGCACATTTGGCTTGCTGTTTTATATGTTTTTAATTGCTTTTTTTAGGGCTTTTTTCTGTGATGGGGTCGTAAGAAGTGCACTCTATAGATTGGTGTGGAGTGTTGTTAAAATGACTGTCCGGTTTTCTTATAAATGGGCCTGAAAAATGGGTGCTCGGTTAACCTGCTCTCGCTGTCTTAGGAGACCTAGCACTGTTTTCAAGTGCTCAGCGTGCTCCTCTACAGTCCTACTAAAGATGAGAATATCGTCGAGGTACATGACAATAAACTTGTCCAAGTAATCATGAAAAATCTTGTTCATCGCGTGCTGGAGCGTACCAGGTGCATTGCATAGGCCAAACGACATCACCACAAACTCGTACAGACCGTACCTGGTCTGAAATGCGGTTTTGTGCTGATCCTCGGGTCTAACAGCAATTTGATGGTATCCGGACTTCAAATCTATCTTTGTGAAGTACCGGCATCCCTGCACTCTATCCAAGAGGTCGTCAATGCGGGGTAGGGGCTCCGCGTTCTTAAAGGTGATGGCATTGAGGCCCCTATAGTCAATGCACATCCTTAATGGACCTCCCTTCTTTGGGACAAATAAGACTGGCGCACCGTAAGGGGAGGTACTAGGCCGTATCCATCCCTTCTCTGTGAGCTCCTTGAGTTGGCAGCGAAGCTCATCTAACTCCGCAGGAGACATCCTATAGATTCGTCC